TTATGTATGGACCCAAATTAGGGGCATTAAGGCCGACATTACAGCCATTTCCCATCTCACTTAATAAATGAAAGATTGGACTCTTGAATAGCCATTCCCATGATCGAAGCCGACCCTCAGAGCGAGAGGCCTCAAGCTCGAGCTAGCCAGCAAAAAGAGGCGCATGTAGCCCATCACAGACGACCTCCGTGGTTAGACCAAAGGTCAGAGGAACCTTTAGACTAGCCCTTCTGGCCCGTCAGAAACAGCTTGTACGTAATTCCTTGAACTATGGGCCTAAAGGGTGTACCGTTTAAAATCCGCGCACACTCAAATTGCTCTAACTTTTGATCTTTAAACTTTAATTTTTGCGTAGACATAGTTTAATGTGTATTGAATGACACAGTAGGCTGCGCTTGAAAGCTGACCTGTTTTTCTTTTGCTGTTTATTTTTCGACAGCGAATTAAAAATTTGTTAATTTGTGTGCTAAAATTTAGTTTCAAGTGTTCAGAAAGTTATCACTTAGTGATGTATCGTGTTTTGCCTGTGATTGCCTTGAGTGACTCGGTTGATCTTGAATCTAACCTCCAGAATCTATGACGCAGCTTCAATTCTATTGTTCGGTGAAGGTTCTCATTGCCTCCCGGGTGCCCGATTCTTCGAGTTCGGATGGCACACTTTCGGAGTGTAGTTCTATTGAGAGATTCGTCACCGTGGGCGATTTTGAACCCGGTCCGGTTGGTGAATTCGCCCGGGAACGTGTTGATAATGTGTCCGTCGTGAGTTTTGGTCGTGATTCAGCCGTGAATCAGCAGGTTTTCCACTTGCAAAGGTGCTCGGCTGCTGGTCTCTCGCCGGTTCCGGAGATTGCGAGCAATATGAAAGATGCCTCGCTGGATACGCCCAAGACTGGACGGGTGGTAGCTGGTGGCCGCGAACCACCTCCCAGATGACCATGGCAATGCAAGATAATTTGTGTTCGTTGAAGGAAGTACTATGATAAAGGTGCATCACGAAATGAGCTGCAAAGCTTAGAGAAAGTCAAAACTACGGAACGCATGGATTGGAGGATCAAGTGAACATGGTAAGACCAGTCCAAATACATTTTATAATTTAAAAAAAACATAAACTAAATACGTACCTGGTTTGAAACGAATATTTTCGAACCTGGAAGCGTGTATGTCATACCAATATCCATTTGATAACAGTGATGCATACATGCGGGGCTTATTGTAAGTGAAAGTAACCTCGGAATGGGTGTGACTCTCCAGACATGCTGAAATGGGTTGCTGGATCTGCAATAGAGCTATCACCTTCTAACTCTCGGACTAAAGCTGTCTACAATGACCATAAATGCGACATTGTAGAGAAAGTTCTTCCATAATAACACTGCCGGCCAGTGGGGGTTAGATTGAATACACACACAAACACACACAGACATAGTTCAATGTGTATTGTTTACACTCTGTGAGTTGATTTCATCGGCTAGTTTTTAACCTGAACATTGGTGAGCGGGCCTAATCTTATGCTTCATAGTGGAGCGTTGGAGACGGTTGGTTTAGGTCCGGCATCGTTGGTTCATGCCGTGGCAGAATAGCGTCATGAGCATGCGTAAAGGATTACTGAGCTTCCCCTCTCTCATGAACCATTACATAAGAGAACCAAAATTCTAGTCTTGCAGTGATAGTATCACACTTGTTACTCCTTTATTTGAGACCCGCGTCGAGAGAACGCTTACGTATAGGCACTGACGTTGGGTGCGATACTGGCGGGTTTTTCCGCAAATCACTCTTATTTTATTTATTTTTACGCAGATAGATTTATTTGGGTTTGCACGGGAATTATACAATTGAAATATTTCAATAAAAATAAAAGTAACCTCGAAACTGCTTGACAAAATACCGGTGTATAAAAACCAGGGATGCCAAATATACAGACAAGTATGTATTTACACATACATTTAATGATGCATGCAGACTTCATACAGAGTACATACATTATACAGACATTGGTAAAACGTTGCAGATTTATACGGACATTAACCAGCAACGGACAATCAAAAAAGGATATCAGTAAAGAATTGACTTGCTTAAAGCATGCTTTTTTCCAGTAGATATTTGCCAAATACAGAGCTGCTACGACTTCTTGAATTTGTATTTCCGAATTTGAGTATTTTTAGCCCTTCATAACTCTGAAATCTCTAAAACCTCTCAGAACTGCCATGACCTTATCAGTTCCTTGAATATTCTCCGAAGATCTCTGAGCCTCTCCGAAGTTCACTGAACCTATCAATAGTTCTACACATTTATAAGAAGCTCTTTAAGAGTTGGTGTGAAATGCTAACATATGAAGCTTTAGTGTGATAATTTATTAACTAGAGAATGATCTTTTGGAAGAGGGTAGGTGGATAGTTCCGTTAGAGTACGGCAGTATGAAAATTGAATAGAAGTTGAAAATGATGCGACAGTACAAAGTCAAGCGCACACCTTTTTGCCTAACCCGTACGATGTACGCGGAGATTTGAAGTATGTCTTCAAATCTACAGGCAGTTACAGCTCTTTAAGTTTCGCTGCTTCTTTTTTTTTTCATTATTCCTGATTATCTAGGATTTTCTCTGAGAAATTCAGAGAATTTCATAACAGCTCAGAGAGCTTCATAGAAGTTAAAAGCACTCCAGGGAGGTCTAGAAAATGCTAGATAAATGTCCTGAATTTGAAAGAAGGACTCCAAACATTTAGAGAAGCAGAAATCTAAAAAAGGCTCAGAGATAACTTTTAAGATATTTGGATGAATTTCAGAGAAGCTTAGTGAACTCTACACAAGTCTTGAATTGAAATAAAATCAATGGACTTAAGAGAAATTCAGATAAATTTGATCGCTTCCTCAATGAAGTGAAGGAAATATAAAAAATATACAGGAAACACATCAGACAAGTTTGAGAGGACTTCAGAGAAGCTTAGAAACCGTAGAAAGGTTACTCGAAGACGTTCAAAGTAGCCTTAGTTCAAGTAGTTGAGGGTTTTCAAAGAAGTTTAGGGAATTTTAACAAAGTTTAGGAATCCTTGAAATTGCTTTGGAAACCTCTATTAAAATCTAAAAATAAATTCAGGAGATTTAGGGAACTAAAGTACTTTTAAGACGTCCAGAAAACCTATAAAAAATCAAGGATCTTCAAAAATGCTTTAAAACATAAAAAATAAGTTCAGGAAACCTTTCACAAATTAAAGGAATCAAATTGAAGTATATTATAATCAAATCTAATCTAATCTAATACAAACGCAGCCATAACGAGAAAGCATCCTGGAAAATGATTAGGTTAGATAACGCCTAATCATTTTTCTTGTCAACATTGATGTTTGCAGCATATCTGAGATATGACACGAACATCAAAATGGCCAGGCCTACTGCGTTGCATTTGCCGCAAAGATGATTCTGTGCGTTTAAATAAATATATTTAAACAGCGATGCATTTCGTGAATCTACAGTAGTTGAAGGATGCGTGGACATACCGTACCAAACGCTCCGAGTTATGTAAGAGTGAATTTAACAATCATTTGTGATGTAATGAATGGTTTATATAATATAGTATAATTGAAGGATCTCACCAAATGCCTCCAATGTTCCCCAAATTCCTAATTTATAGATAAAAATGGAAATCAGATTGAAGTATATTATAGGTTCCATTTATGAAAGTTCAAAATTTTTTGAAAAGGTTCAAGATAGGCTCAAAGAGGTTCACAGAACATCCAATACCCATTGGGATATTTCAGGTTGAAAATTTCTTATATCAAAGTTTGCTACAAACCTTTGAATTATGGTTCGAGTGGATTTGGATTGGATTGATTAAATTTAAAATTTCTCGTAACTCAGCAATTGACCAACGCAGGTTTCAGATTTTTTGGTGACTCTCTCGTTGAATATGACTGTAATGTTATTATCACGAAATTACGAAAAAAGGTTACGCGAATATACATTTGCAACCTATACCTACTCTCAATATTCAAAATGTATGATAGACATTTTATTAGCATTCATACAGACCGACAGTGTTCAGAGTGATGGCTGAAGAAGCTTCCAAGGGAAGTTGAAATAAGTTCTCGGGAGGAATCGAAAAATAAGTTATGTTGTAAGAAAATTCCAGGCGAAAGTTGGAAGAAAATTCAAGAAGCAAAAAATGAACAAAAACTTTAGGAGGTTAAATAATGTTTAAAAAGTATTTCGCGATTCCCTAGGAATAACCGGAAAGAGCCATTGACATCGATTCATGGGTAGCCAAAAACGGTGAAGAAATGGAAACATTAGTCAAAAGAGTATCACGCATATGACATTTTCAAAAATGATTTTTTTTTAAGAATTTTGAGGGCAAAAAGATACAAGTCTCTGAAAGTAATTTTCTCCAAAATTCAAACGCAGGTAGGCAATAATAATTTTGATCATTTAAAAAAATCGCTACAAATCGGTATACAATTTCAAAAACCGGTATTAAAGGGATCTTATCTGTGTGTCGGTATCTAGTTCGAAGATCGGTATAAATACCGATTAATCGGTATGTCTGGCAACGCTGATTGTGTGGTCCTCCTCATTGTTCTTCATCAGCAGTTCTTTCAGTCGATGCGTCGCCGACTTTGGAAAGCAACCGTTTCGTGATGAATGTGTGAGTGCAGACCTCGTTTTGCGTCCATTATTGCACTGGAAGTGCTCTTACCCCCGTTGGCAATACTGCCATACAATGAAACCACTGGAAGCGGCTCCCGTTCTGTTGGAGGAGGCTTATTGGATAGCGGAAGATAAAATGTTTATTGTGTTGTACCTTTTGACTATAGTTTTAAGATGTATTGTATTGCGAACATGAATCCTCGGCTCTGTAAAGTTAATTCGGTTGAGCCTTATCAAATGAAGTAATAAACAAACAAAAAACACACCCACAATTCCTGGAGGGGAAGGGGGGCTACACCAGTGCGTGGAACTGCTCAGATGCAACATTCAGCTCCGTATGGTTTGCAGTGTTAATAGTACTCACTTGGCGGAGGTGGTAAAGCTGAAGCAGACGTCCAGCGCCAGCAGCGTCACCATCACGACGTACGACACCTGAAATAGGTAGATTTCGTTGATGCGCTGCTTGTACAGGCAGGCCAGCAGCAGGGCGTACACGACGGCACACACGCCGATCACGATCAGCTGGGTCATGTTGTCCTTGAGAAGGGTGAAGTAGTCCCGGCTGCACAGTGCGAGCCCCTCGTCCACCAGCACCTCCGAAGCCGTCGTCGTCGAGTGGTTTTCGAAAGTCAAATCAAATTCCGGAACCGCTGGGGTGGCGACGTTGATGACGGTGTCGTTATTGTCCTCCTCGACGTATAGCTCGGTGTCGTCGTAGACTGCGTTGATAACGTCGTTATCACCGCCGTTATGGTGGCCATTAATGGAGCTGAAAATAGGCAAATAAAACGATGGTAATGAAACAAAAGCTCACGGAAATTGTACGAGTCCTTCTGGTTCGAGTTCGAAAGGAGGGATAGTGGTTGTTGTCGTTGCGTTCGGAGGGAAAGGTGATTAGATTAGCAGATGTAAGCTGAAGCGGCTTGTTGTGTTATTTTTGGACGGGTATGGAACAAACGAAGGACTTTATTGCGACATCAGAAGAAAGGTGGGCGGTCGTTTTTGGAGTACAAGTTGATGTGTTAATAAAGTGCTGCAAACTTTCCCCCTTCACGGTGATGTTAGATGAAGCCTTTCCAGGGTGAACTCCAAGGTAGCTTTCAATACATGCATCAAACAGCAACTCAATTCTATCATGAAGCTTTCTGTGAGCTTCCCAAGAACGGAAAAATTCTCCCGCGAAAAAGAAGCAAAATGACACTTCAATGTTCCGTAAGCAATGATTACTTATGACGACCATCCAGGACACACAAAGGACACGATGTTGATTTGGACTCCAACGACCGACCGCCGGCAAACGGAGGTGCCAAAATGTGGAACCACGGGTGGAAGTTTATTGCCCTTTCATTTTCCTGCCCTGTGCCAGAAGTCGAGTTACACTAATGAAGCTAATGTAGTTAACTGTGGAGGAGCACATTTATGAGTACTGGCTGAGAGGCAGCAGGCAGGCAGGCGGATCTCATTGTGTCTCACGTCTAACGATTCGGTCGTTTGTCTGTCTTAAGTACTTTGGATGTAAGTAAAAGCAGTAAAAGTGTGCTGCTGAAATGTTTGTTGACAGGTCCTAGATAGGGATTGGATGGGTAGAAGATAGCTTTAATAGCACAAGAATGGATGTTGACTTTTGTACCAATCAGCCATTTGTTCTATCATCCAGGAAAGCGCAAACTAAGCGTCGTTTATCATAATTTATAAATAACCTCGGATCTTGCCCTGTATGGTAACCCGCAAATGGTCTCTATAAAAACGAAATAAGTGGCAGACGATCCTTTATCTAGAGTGACACCTCACTGACGACACTTTTGTTACTAATTAAGCCCATAAATACATGCTTTCTCAACCCGTCACGTCATGATGAAGGGTTCCCTCTAAGTGTCGTGACATGCAGACGCGACATCACCCATAAAAGCCACGATTAGGGAGACAGCAGTCATTATGATGGTAAATGCTTAACCACAGATTAACCGTTCGAGGTAATTTATCATCCCACCAAGGATGGTGTTCGCTGGTTTTTTCACTGCGATAAGGATGAAAGGTGATTTTAATTTTTCGAGGGTCGAATAACAGCATCGATGGATCAATCTTTACATAAAATGGAGCAGAAACCAGTGACGACAGAGCAAAATAAAGCTGAGAACGCATACAAGAAGTATGAAACAGAATCTAGACATACAACCATTCCATAGCCAAACGATATAGTGGTTCTCAGAATTTCGTAACAATTGTTTTTTTTATTTCTCATGAGGGTGACCATTTCCACGTTAGGGTGGTCCAAAAAAACATTTTTGGATGTAGGACCACTCTATATGGGGGTACACTTTGTGAAAACCGAAAATGGAACATGTAACAAAATTATGAAAGATTTTGAACGTTAATAACTCAGCTGCCTCTGGACCAATTTAAATAATGTTATCACCAATCGATCAGGAATATGTCTACGCATCTGTTTAATTTAAGGATTTATCGTTTTTCAAAATGTCACTATTTAAAAATTGCACTGTTGAACAAGGATTTCCCTAACACAGATTTCAAAGTTGAATTCTATCTGGTCACACAAAACGGTGTTTATTCAATCACCGCGTGGTGAGTGGTGGTGTACTCCAGTACACAACGAAAGGCTCCTCGCAAGCAGCTAGCTATCAAGGCTGACCTCAACCGCTGATCGGATTCAGTTCCAATTACCGTGTGTAGTGGTGTCTGGTCGTCGGCATCAGCAGCAGCAGCAGCAGCAGCAGCAGTGCTTTCGGCGCGTGGCGTTGAACATTGGTCTCCAGTACACAACGAAAGGCTGCCTGCAAGCAGCGAGCTGCAGCCCACTTGAGCATTCATAGAAGGAGGAAGAAGCCGCACCGCTATTGATCGGAATCAGTAGCTCTTCGTGTGTCGCTATGGGCTATCTATGTCAAGCGCGTCACCCTTATTCCAAACAACACACAGCTCACCAGCCTTATTTGTTTTTAACACCCTAATAGCTCAGCATTACTCAACCATCACGACAAAACAGTCCTTTTAAGGACCACCATAAATTTGAAAAAGAGTATTTTTTGGACATTCGTCAAGGTCAAATCGGATGTCAGTTCCCATGTCAAGATAGAGCTGGAATTAAGGCGTAACAGCTTTTGTAAACAAAGACTTTTTTCGGTGATATCTTGAAAGTCAAGGCTCGCCCACACTAATCAACATCACCATCAGGTAGGGTAAAACTTCCCCTACCCGACGCTAATGTTAGTTTGCGTGGGCGTGCCTTGAATACCTAAAAATCATCGAGACTTCATGACTTCATTGTTTACAAAAGCTGCTAAACCTAATTCCAGCTCTATCTAGATAAACTTATATCTAACATACCATCTCCTTGAAGGCTACATTGGGGGTGCAATTTCAAAAACCAAAGTCGGTCGTGGCATGAAATGCCGACAGGAGATCCGGACGGCGAAGCAAAATTGCTGGTCGGACTTCCTGGAGAGTATCAACGCCGAACAATCGTCAGCGGAGCTATGGAGCCCTTAGCGGCAAGCAGCGATCATCTCCGCTCCAGATTCGAACAGGCACCGTCACCATCACTGCTCCAACCGTCGTAGCAGACGAACTGGGCAAATACTTCGCCAAACTATCCGGCATCTCGGAGTACAGCGAAAGCTTCCGACAGCGAGTCGGCCCCTCTATGTCCACTGTGTCTGCCTTCGGAATTCCTGCAGACAACGACGACCTACCAATCAACAGCCCACTCTCTTGCGAAGAACTCGTGTTCGCTCTCAGTTGGAGCAACGGGAACTCGGCCGGACCGGACGAAATCGGCTACCCGTTGCCAAAGCACCTTCCACCCGAAGGCAAAACGAAACTTCTCGACCTTTGCAACCAACTCTGTACCGCTGAAGAATACCCGGAAAACTGGAGAGAAAGCCTTGTTATACCGTTACCGAAAACCAATGTCGGGACCAAGGACATCACTGGGTTCCGTCCCATTGCACTGACCTGCTGCATGGCCAAAGTCCTGGAACGGATGGTCAACAGGAGGCTGAAGCAATATCTTGAGGCCAAGAAGCTGCTTGACCATCGGCAGCACGCCTTCAGGCAAGGGTATGGCACCTCCACCTACTTCGCCACTCTTGGGGAAGTCCTGAAGGAGGCACAGGACCAAGGTCATCACGCGGAGATCGTCTCGCTGGACATCTCCAAAGCGTTCAACCGAACATGGATACCAGCTGTATTGAAGAAGTATCCGATCTTTTCGGGTTTCGGAAGTTTCAGTGAGGAAACCGGAGTGCCACAGGGGCCGGTGATCGCGGTCACCCTCTTCCTGATGGCCATGAATGGGGTCTTTGACCAACTACCCAAGAACTTCCACATCTTCGTCTACGCGGATGACGTCCTCATTGTAACGGTGACATGCAGTGGACGAAACTGAAAGCGCAAGCGGACAGCCCATCATGATTGAACAACAAGCAATACCGACCAAAAACACCGTTAGGGTCTTGGGAGTGCTCCTCGATCGGAATGTATCCTTTGAGCCGCACTTCCAACAAGTAAAGAAGGACTGCCGCAGTCGGTCCAACCTGATTAAGACCATCTCCCGCCCTCACCGATCCAACAATCGCGAAATCCGCTTCCGCGTAACTCGATCCATCATCGACAGTCGCCTACTGTCCAGATTCTGGAACCGGCGTACAACGGCTACGTTCGAACACTCTCCGGTATCCTGCCCTCTACCCCGGCCGACGCTGCATGCGTTGAAGCCGCTGCCTTTCTCGCTAAAACGTCGGTAAACAACAGCATCGTTCTTCTCGACGAGGCAAACCAACTCCTCCACACGGATGCCGACGTAGATCTCCCTCCAGTGGCCAGGGTCCACTGGCACGGAGACAGAAGTTGGCAATCGCACAAGAACAACATTGACAGCCGAATCAAGGACCGCTTCAGGGCAGGAGACAACTCACTGACTTTACGCCCGACAGTTGTCAAAACTCTCGGGGCGCACTACCAAGGTTATGAAGTTGTGGTGTCAAGGCCACGCACCGGGCACAGCAGAGTCTACCACAACTTCGGAGGAACGCCGTTCCGGGGGACCTGCAAAACCTGCGGAGTGCCAGTCACTGTGGAGCACATCCTCGTGAACTGCGCGGAGCTGGAGGACCTTCGGGTTGCCTTCGGCTTGGAGTCAATCAGCATTCGGAACCTGTTGGACGACGAGTCCCCGGCAGCAGTTGCCCTCATCACCTTCCTAAAAGAGGCGAACCTTTACAACAATATCTGAGTGTTCCTTGTTTGTATTTCCAGTTTGTTGGCCCTTTTGGTAGTTCTCTACACCTTTTCATTCTAGCAAGATAAATGTCCCACAGCCAAGATTGGGAATCTCCTTCTGAGAACCCAATTTTTTTTACTATCCTAAAGCGAACCCCACACGTATCAATATATTGACTCGAAGGAGAATTATTGACAATAATATTGATGATGTGAATTCAGAAATATTTTCAATCTCGATGTATTGACGTCTATATAGAATGTATCGATGTATTGACGTCAATATAGAATGTATATTGTCAATAACAGTAATCGTGTAGGGTCCACTTAAGAGATGAACTAGCCATATGGCTAAAAATCTCTATAATAAAGACAAAAAAAAAACTTGATGTCTCCGGCAAACTTGTTTATCTTGACAAAACAAACAACTCTTTTGAAGACGTAAAATTTACACAGCCTACTGGTTCCGAGATTTAGGGAGCTAAGCAAATGCATTAAATAAAGAACTTTTGTGAAGAAACAAATTGGTTC